CAGGTTGAACCTGCAGGTTGCAGAGGTTGAAGCAGCAGGTTGCAGAGGTTGAACCTGCAGGTTGCAGAGGCTGAAGCTGCAGGTTGCAGAGGTTGAAGCAGCAGGTTGCAGAGGTTGAACCAGCAGGTTGCACAGGTTGAACCAGCAGGTTGCAGAGGTTGATCCACAGCAAGTTGCAGAGGTTTAACCAGCAGGTTGCAGAGGTTGAACCAGCAATTTGCAGAGGTTGAACCAGCAGGTTGAACCTGCAGGTTGCAAAGGTTGAAGCAGCAGGTTGCAGAGGTTGAACCAGCAGGTTGCACAGGTTGAACCAGCAGGTTGCACAGGTTGAACCAGCAGGTTGCAGAGGTTGAACCAGCAGGTTGCAGAGGTTGAAGCAGCAGGTTGCAGAGGTTGAACCAGCAGGTTGCAGAGGTTTGGTGGGTGTGCGCGGTTTTGGGCGGGTGTGGTTGTGCTCTCTTGGCGCTTTTGGTCATTTCAACATTTCGATTCTGGATGGGGAAAGGGCCCAAAATGACACCGCAAGAATTGGGCCTGCGACCTCTCCCAAAACTACTACGAAGGTGCGCAACCTTGCCAAAAAACTATCTGGCCATGGCCTAATGGGTAAGTGTCCGGCTCCAAAACCTTCTTGGCACAGGTCGTGGGCTCAATCCCCAGGGGCGTCGTTTGGGCCCTTTCCCCACCCGGAATCGAGATTTTGGGGTGGCCTGAAGCTTTGGGCTCTCTGGGGACTCTCTAGAGGGGACTGGGTGCACATCCGGCTTTCGTGGGGCAGGTTGCAGAGGTTGAGCCAGCAGGTTGCAGAGGTTGAACCAGCAGGTTGCAGAGGTTGAAGCAGCAGGTTGCAGAGGTTGAAGCAGCAGGTTGCAGAGGTTGAGCCAGCAGGTTGCAGAGGCTGAACCAGCAGGTTGCAGAGGTTGAAGCAGCAGGTTGCAGAGGTTGAAGCAGCAGGTTGCAGAGGTTGCAGAGGTTGCAGAGGTTGAACCTGCAGGTTGCAGAGGTTGAAGCAGCAGGTTGCAGAGGTTGAAGCTGCAGGTTGCCACATGTGCTCTTCTGCACTTGTGCAACCATGAAGCATTGCTATCATCAACAACAACATCATCATCATGTTCTTCATCATCATCATGTTCTTCTCCTGGACCATGATCATCGTCATCATTACCATCACCACCACTACCGCCATCTTCATCATAACAAGCATCACCGTAATCGTCATCATCATTTTCATCGTCATCATTTTCATCATTTAATTACTTGCAGAACCTGTGTTTCTAGGAATTGAGATAACAACACCCCCCTAATTATAAAAACATTTTCGAGTTTTTATTTAGGGCGAAGGGGGGGGGGGCCCCGACCCTTTAATATTAGGGGGAGGGGATTACCACTGCTACAACTACTAGGGGCGGGGGCGCCTACTAGCCACCCCTCCCCCCATGCAAGATCTACCCCTCAAAGAGGCAGACACCGTGCTGCAGTTACTGCATGTTTATGCTTCAATACAGGCAGCCCACTGCGGTGCAGCGCAGTCCCACCGAACGATGCACCCAAGTATTGAAACAGATGTTGCAGATAAGGGCATGATCAGGAACGTGCTGTCTTGGATTTCTTCTTCCAAGCTTGGCAATACAGCCCCCAGCCCCCAAAGCAGCGCCAACTTCAGGACGCGCCTTTTCACTCTTGAGCCAAACATCAAGTTGTCATCATCCTATGCTGTTCTACACAATCAGGATATACGTTAGCTTACAGGTGAGGAACGTCGCGTTTTCACAACTCAAGCACGACAGTTGCATGACTTCAATTCTGTGTGTATGTCCCTAGATTCAAAGATGCATACCAAGAAGAAGATCGATCGCAGTTCTGTGACCAAACGCATAAGAACTGGAAAGCCAGAAGCTGAACCAAGTACCTCCTAATCAATAATCCTATATGTATGCAGAAGCCTTAACTCAACCCTGAAACCCGAATGCCCTGACAGACCGTCCGCTTCCGGCATCCTAGCTTTTTCCATTCTGAGAGTCGCACCGCCTCGTGCGCCACTGCGCTGAAGGAGTTGTGTAAGCCTGACCTCGCCGTCCGTTCCGGTAAGGTTGATGCCTTTATCACTTCCCCCTTTCATTAAGCACCCCCCTAAAATTAAACACATTGGGGCGAATCCTCCCGAAATCGTCCCTGCGCTTCAAAACCTATTCTGAATTAGGGGGATTTCGAGGCTCCAAATACCCTTAGAGCACAGTAGGAGCAAGATCCAGAGCAATAGCAGCAGTTGGAGCAAGCGCAAAAGCGGAGCATCAGCAAGAGCAGCAGCAAGAGCAAAGAGCAGGAGATGCAAGAGTAAGAGCCAGAGCAGGAGCTCGCGCCAGGGATGCAGGAACAGGAGCAAAAGCCAGCGCAAGAGCAAACGCTAGAGCACGACCCCCTCAAAAGTAGCAGTAGAGACAACAAAACACTTTCCGAGTTTTTATTGAAGGAGGGTTAATATTAGGGGGAATATCCCTGAAATCCTGGCGCCCCCGCTACCACTCTTGCAGCCCGAAATCTGCGCTTCAACTCTTTAGTCTTCATGTTCATGACACATGCTCTGCTCCGCAACATCCTGCAACCCCTGGCTTTGACCCATGAGACCTGAGACAGAATTCTTAGGGTAATGATGTGTTTGGAAGGGGCGGTGAAAGGGATTTGGGACATTTGGCGATCAGCCACAAAGCCTCGTAAACAACCATCGACTCACCGAGTTGCGCATCGTGGTACTGCGGAGTGGCGACACGTCGCCCAAACGTCGGATCAACCTTTCCGCAGGATCGGGATACCCACAAGGGTGCAACTGCCATGTTTGGGGAGATGCCCGAAATAGTCTCACTAAAGACTGCAGGCCCTCGCCTACTGTGCCAGCCCGGTAAGTAGCACCCCCCCCCATCTCTTCCGACTTGGTCCATGCCAAGGCAGCGACTTCTAGCTTCCATGCCAAAAGTCACTCACTTTCTGTGGCTCTGTGCATCTACTTGGAAGACTAAGAACCCACACTCTACAAAACAAACAATGCTACTGGCATTCGGGCGCTCAAACATATTGCTGACGCTCGAACGGCGTTCAATGTTTGCGTCGTTATAGAAAGGAGCTAGCCACCCTATGGGCCAAAAACCCGCCTTCATGACATGTCTGGTGTGAGTTTGGGCTTAAACAGCCTTAACCCTCATGGTCTTTGTTGGTGGTCTGGCATCTCCGCACTCGAAACCACCCTGTCACAAGGTGCTAAACTATCTAAGCCTAAGCCCTATTAACTTTCCCTAAACTTCCAAAGCATCAACTCAAGATGTAGACGTCAAGACTTTCGGAAGCACTGACTCTTCATGGCCCCTATGCAACAGATTCCAACAACAGTAAGATAGGGCAACCGTGCCCATTCAAAGCGTTGACTACAATCTCCGTCAAGACTGCCTCTGGCTAACTGACAGCTGCCGTGTGTCCAGAAGGAAAAGGCCATGAATGAACCATAAGCACACGCCCCTCTGCACTGATCATGGCAACCGGAGCACTCTTAGTCGCCAGTCCGACCATGTCAATATACAGGCAGGGTATGCAGTGTCGGCATTGAAACAATCGGCTGCAAGTTGCACCCGATTTTGTTGCGTTGATGCTACTACTACTACTGCTGCTGCTACTACTACTACTACTACCACCACTACCACTGCTACAACTACTAGGGGCGGGGGCGCCTACTAGCCACCCCTCCCCCCATGCAAGGATCTACCCCTTAAAGAGGCAGACACCGTGCTGCAGCTCCTGCATGTTTATGCTTTAGTACGGGCAGCCCACTGCGGTGCAGCGCAGTCCCGCCGAACGATGCACCCAAGTATTGAAACAGATGTTGCAGATAAGGGCATGATCAGGAACGTGCTGTCTTGGATTTCTTCTTCCAAGCTTGGCAATACAGCCCCCAGCCCCCAAAGCAGCGCCAACTTCAAGACGCGCCTTTTCACTCTTGAACCAAACATCAAGTTGTCATCATCCTATGCTGTTCTACACAATCAGGATATACATTAGCTTACAGGTGAGGAACGTCGCGTTTTCACAACTCAAGCACGACAGTTGCATGACTTCAATTCTGTGTGTGTCCCTAGATTCAAAGATGCATACTAAGAAGAAGATCGATGGCAGGCTGTGACTAAACGCATAAGAACTGGAAAGCCAGAAGCTGAACCACGTACCTCCTAATCAATAATCCTATATGTATGCAGAAGCCTTAACTCAACCCTGAAACCCGAATGCCCTGACAGACCGTCCGCTTCCGGCATCCTAGCTTTTTCCATTCTGAGAGTCGCACCGCCTCGTGCGCCACTGCGCTGAAGGAGTTGTGTAAGCCTGACCTCGCCGTCCGTTCCGGTAAGGTTGATGCCTTTATCACTTCCCCCTTTCATTAAGCACCCCCCTAAAATTAAACACATTGGGGCGAATCCTCCCGAAATCGTCCCTGCCCTTTAAAACCTATTCTGAATTAGGGGGATTTCGAGGCTCCAAATACCCTTAGAGCACAGTAGGAGCAAGATCCAGAGCAATAGCAGCAGTTGGAGCAAGCGCAAAAGCGGAGCATCAGCAAGAGCAGCAGCAACAGCAAAGAGCAGGAGATGCAAGAGTAAGAGCCAGAGCAGGAGCCCCCCCCGTCATGCAGAAGCAGGAGCGAAAGCCAGCCCAAGAGCAAACGCTAGAGCACGACCCCCTCAAAAGTAGCAGTAGAGACAACAAAACACTTTCCGAGTTTTTACTGAAGGAGGGTTATTATTAGGGGGAATATCTCGAAATCCTCGCGCTCCCGCCACCACTCTTGCAGCCCGAAATCTGCGCTTCAACTCTTTAGTCTCCATGTTCATGACACATGCTCTGCTCCGCAACATCCTGCAACCCCTGGCTTTGACCCATGATACCTGAGACAGAATTCTTAGGGTAATGATGTGTTTGGAAGGGGCGGTGAAAGGGATTTGGGACATTTGGGGATCAGCCACAAAGCCTCGTAAACAACCATCGACTCACCGAGTTGCGCATCGTGGTACTGCGGAGTGGCGACACGTCGCCCAAACGTCGGATCAACCTTTCCGCAGGATCGGGATACCCACAAGGGTACAACTGCCATGTTTGGGGAGATGCCCGAAATAGTCTCACTAAAGACTGCAGGCCCTCGCCTACTGTGCCAGCCCGGTAAGTAGCACCCCCCCCATCTCTTCCGACTTGGTCCATGCCAAGGCAGCGACTTCTAGCTTCCATGCCAAAAGTCACTCACTTTCTGTGGCTCTGTGCATCTACTTGGAAGACTAAGAACCCACACTCTACAAAACAAACAATGCTACCACTCGGGCCCAGGAATCCTGAGCAGAGTACCACTCGGCCGTTGCAACCAGGGTTTGTAGCACAGGTTTGGGCAGTTTAGGATGATCCCTCTTCAACTCCGGAATCAGCTGGCTTCGGGGAGGCCTGAAGCCGAAACCCGGCACCGAAACCCACCTCGAAAACCTGGAAACTCACACCTTCCAAAGGGCACTGCAAACCCGAAAGCCTACAAAACCTAAACCTACACCCCCAAGCATCAGCATGCCCTTCAAGCCGCAAATTGAAAAAGGCCCTGCACCCTGGAACTCTCAGGCCCTAGGTGCAAGGACCCTGAGCTCCAAACCCACCCGAAAAAAGCCGGGTGGAGAGACTCAAAGCCGAATACTTTCCAACCTTAGCCGAAGGAAGAGCTGCTGCCTCAAGCCAAAGCACTATTTGCCCTCAAGCTCTCTGCGACTGCCCATCCCTAAAGCTGTAAAGCCTCTGTAGAACTCCAAACTGCATAACGAAACTAATTCTGCCCGTTCCTACGCGTAATACACCCTCGTTTCAAAAACCCTCTCGCGCCTGGCTCTCGTTGATGGCCGGCACCTCCGAGCCGTACGTCGTGAAGAGTTCTTCCCCCATCTGCAGCGAAAGGATGCAGGCTCCGGTTTCCGGGGCTACATACAGTACAGGTGACTACTGTACACAATACATCCTAAACCATGAAATTCGAAAACCGTACACCCTGAAGCCTCAACACCCTAAACCCTAAGCCCTCGACAACTTGAACCCTGTGCCAGTCAAGTCGGCACTAAGTGTCTGCCGGTCAGTGTCATGACACTGGCGCTGGAAACCCAAATTGTACAGCCTGTAGGCTTCAGGCTGCAAAGCTCCACACCCTGAAGAGTATATCCTGAAGAGTCTCAAGCCTCGAATGCTAAATTCTATGCTAAATTCTTCCCTTCAAGCCCAAGTCCTGATATGAACAAGCCCGATGATACTTAAGGAGTGTTCCTTGACCGTCCCTGAAACTCCGCCAACACCAGAATCCCATACTGCTACACCATGTAATACCCTACAGAACCGTCTTAAGAGCTTATCCCGCAGAAAATCTACACCCAGACTTCACAAAACCCCCAAAATCCCAAGCCCAACGCTCCGCACCTCAAACATGGGCATCGGCACCGCGACCATGACGATGAGGCAGCCCGGCCTGAGTTTGGCGTCTCGGGTATAATGTAGGGACCTGCATAATTACAACAGTGATCTTTTTTTAAGGGTTCTAGAAGGGTTATGAGCGATCTATAGGGTTTTAAGACACAGAATGGGGGTCTTGGGGTTTTTGAAACTGTTAATAAAATAAACCCCTAAAACAGTATTCCTGTTCCTCCTGTTCCTCGCGGACAAAAGTGCCAATATAGGCTCGTCCCAAAAATGCAGAGTGAAACGAAAGAGTGAAACCGTCCCCTAAAGAGTCGCCGAAGGCTTGGTAAGCCAGAAATCGGCACATTCACTCCGGGGCCCTTCTGTAGACGCCGCTCCAATCCACTCCTCGACCCGAAGAAGGTCGGTAGCGGATGGCTCAAAGCGTCGTTTAAGGGTGTCTAGGGAGGCCTCATCGTGCTCAAGAGGGGGAGTGGCCTCGACTGCAGTAGGGAGACGGGGGAAGTACGCTTGCAGAGGCGGAGGAGCAGAGGCGTAGGCGCTCCAAGTACCACGTCTGAGCTGCTTCACACGTTTAGTGTCCTCAGCTTCCACGAGGCGCACCTCATCATTGGTAAGGGGTCGGATGACCCGAGCGGAGCGTGCCAGACATGAGGGCTGGCTCTTGAGATGGTACTGAACACGGGAGACAGTATGATACCACTTATGACAGGACAGGCAGTAGGGCCCGACCGCGTACAAACGGGCCGGACTGAAGATAGCGTGAGCTCTGGCCTGATGTAATGCCAAGTGCTTGCGGAGACGAAAACCAGCATGGCAAGTGGGGCACACAAAAGGCATGTCAGTCCCGGAAGGGGGAGGGACATTTGTAGCCGGTAGGAGAGACGTGCCTCCCCTGGAAGCATGCTTAGCAGACCAGAGGGCGACATCCTTGGCATAAGCTTGGACAGCCTTCTTGAGACAGCGAGGCCACCACAGAGAATCAAGCTGAAGCGATTCTACAAGAGCCTCGGCAACCGAAGGGCCATCACGCAAAACACCAACCTCAGGGACCCATGCATGTACCGCCTGAAAGTCCTGGACAAAGGCCCCAATCCAAGAACGAGAAGGAGACAAAACCCAATGCACCCGCAACAGATGTAGGAGCGCACTAGGGCCATGTTTCCACAAACGCAGCATATAAGTGGCCCGGGCCTGTGCTAAAGCAAGATAGGGCGACGGCGCAGCCGCTCTTTCAAGTATAGCGAGACTGTGGGGCGCGTTTTCAGCACCCTTCCACCGGAAAAGGGATCGCCACAGTTTGACATACCCCCTGCACCAGCTACGGCGATGAACCGCAGCCTGCAAAAGCAGAGTGCAGCTGGAGAAGGTGTACTTAGACACGACCAGCGCACGCAACAGCGCCCTACGGGTAGAGAGCGGTATGCGAGGCTCCGAAAAAAGCTTACGCCTGAGTGGCACCAAGGTGGACATGGCTCGAGCAAGCCGAAAAGCGACCTCGGGGCCAGAGGTCCCACACGGCAATCGTGCCGAGATGCTTATATGCATCCACAACTGGAAGAAAGTGGCTGGACCGCCGAATGGAATCGAAAATCCAAACTCCAAGCTGATCATGTTCATCCCTGAGCAGAATTCCATTGGGTTCACGTCGACACAAAGAACAAAGCATTACCGCCGATTTATCTGGAGCATATGTCAGGGTCATGCCATGGGCAGTGGCTCGAGTGGCTAAAAGAGAAGTCGCGGCCACAACCCGTGTAATGAGGGCAGCATCGGAAACAGCGGATTGTAAGTGGGCAAAATCATCTGCCCACGCCATGCAGCCCAAGCGCGGAGTCCAGTCATCCTGACGCAAAAGTGGGCAAGCCTCGGTATCCGGAAGAAAGGTGTCAAGGTTGACCTGTTGGAGTGCCTCCTCGGTACTGCGTAAATACGCAGAAAAAAGGAAACCAAAAAGCAGATCTGCCAGGGGGTCCCCTGGTCTCGTGCCTTGCTGAGTGAGAACCAGGGGACCCCCACAATCTAGTCGGAACCAGCTACCTCGGAAGAGGTCAGAGACCATTTTCACCAAAAGCTGATCATCACAAACTGTAGGCAGGATAGCCAGGTTGCAGAGGTGAGTGACGAGCTCAGCAAGAGACTCGTCTGGAACTCCGAGGTTGTGTAGAAGCTCAAGGAGTTTGGCGTCCGAAGGTCCCGACTCTGGAGGGACAAGGGCCTGCCTGACTACACTATAGAAGGCAGTACGCACATCGAAGAAAGTAACTGCAGTAGTGCGGCGCTGATGCTGCATAATGCACTGATAAGTGCGGATTATATGTGCAACTGCTTCCACACCGACACCAGGCTGTTGTCCAAATTGTAGCTCAGCCCTACAAGTGGAAAAACTGCCCATGAGTTTGTCGCGGATAATGCGATGGTGGGCCTTGCCAGAGGTGTTGGCCATCAGTATCGACCTATAAGCTGAGCATTCAAGTGCACCATGTGCACGTTTGGCTAAGCAGTGAAGCGTGCCTCCCCTCCAATCCGAAGGCTCCCTTGTGCCGAGTGAGGATTTCAGGCATATAGGGAAGAGGGTCTTGGCGACCATGGGCACGTCGAGGCGATAAACTTCAGCAGTGAGGCCATCCGTGCCACGGGCTTTGCCACATTTTGCACGGAGCAATTGTTGCTCAAGCTGGTACAAGGTCGGAAGAGCATCTGCACTAAAGAGGGCAGGATGTGTGGGGACCGGAATGGCAGGTGCACAGAAGGCTTGTCGGTAATCCTCAGGGCCGACTCGAGCTCCACCCTCCTGTGCACCGAAGTGATCGACCCAACGTTCTATTTTCTGTTGCGAAGTGAGGGCAAGGGTGCCGTCCTGAAGTCGGACAGCAGGAAGGGGGTGAAAAGACTGGCGGCGTGCAGCCTGTGCCAAAGGAAAAGCTTTACGTACTGCTGCGTAAAGCTCCTTAGGGGCACGCATGTCGTGTAGGGTTATGCGACCGGCCAAATCGGCCAGGTATTGAGTCCTGTCACGGCGAACTGCCGCACGAATGGCGGCTGTCGACTCGTACAGTAGCTCAAGGGCCCGTGCGATACTATGGTCGACCTCTGCAAGCCATCCAGCAGCAATCTGGAGAGGCATGTCGCCCAAGACCTCACCCCTGACACACATGAGCCACGTAGCAAAGGCGATAAGAAGGCGTCTCCTGTCAAGTTCCGTGGCTTCCGCACGGATGTAAGCACGGAGGGCCCGACGTCTATGCACAAGGTCAACAGTGGGCTCAGTAATGAAAGGGCGTCGGGATCTGCAGGCCGTAGGGGAAAGAACGGGCTCTGTGGCCTGACGCAGACTATGAACCCAAGTCCTATACTGAGTGTCTACGTCTACCTGCCACGGCGCAAAGGCCTGGCTCGCGAGAGCCTGTTGGAAGGCTACGCGTTGTTCCTCTGTGGGGCGCGCAGAAGGACGCCAGGCGCGCCGACGGAAGGCACAGTGACGGGTTGCCCCTACCGTCTTGGCAAAGGCAACGGACAACCGGACAGGAAGATGATCTTGTCTGGCCTGCATAACTTCCATATCGACCCAAACAGCAGAAGAAACCACAAAGGGAGACCAGTCACAGGGAACTCCAATGTAATCAAGGCGGTGGCAGGCCCCGCCGGGACCGGAAGACTGCCAGGTCCAATGCTGCCCTTGGTGGCCGGTAAAAGTGGATGGCAGTACGCAGTCAACCTGGCTGAGGAAGGTGTGCAAGCAAGAGCCTTCAAAGTTTTCCTCCTCTGCACCAACAGGGCCAATGTGGTCCGTGTTGATGGAACCCACATGGCTATTTGCATCAAGTAGGAGTACGCACATTGTGCCGGAAGGACGGGTTGCGAGCTCCTGTGCTCGTTGGTGCCAAAATTGACTCACCTCAGCCTCCTTGCCTCCCTGGGCACGCGGTCCATGTGCGACCAAGACGCAAAGGCGGAGGCGGGGGGTTTCTATGGTGGCTTGCAGATGTCGAGGAGAAAAGTGTGTCACAGTTACCTGAGAATCGTGAACGACATACTTACGTCCGCCATCACGGGCGAAAGCACACTTACGGCTGATCCAGAGTGCACAGCCATAATGACCCCTGGCATCAGCGGCCGCATTGAGCATGATGAAATCAGAGTCGGGGAGTTGCGAATCAAGCGGCAATCTAGTTTCTTGAAAACCCGCTAACCACACCTGCTGATGCAGTAATTGCTGCTTGAGTAAGTCTCTTTTACCAGAAACCATCATGCCCACATGTTCAAGACGCTTGGCACGCCCGTGTGGAACTGCCGGATCAAACATGGTAAGAACGTTAAAAGAAGCCATCGCAAATTGGAAAAGCACTTCGGCTGTGGGAAGATCCACTGTTGTCTCTCCAAAGAATGGAGGAGGGGAGGCGGAGGATATCGCCTGAAGGCGGTTAGCCTCGGACTCAAGGGCCAGCAAACACGGCAAATCGGGTCCGCAGTATCCGACTAACCAGCCCCACCCGGATAAGGGGCTGCACCACCAAGTGTGAGGCCAATCAGGAAGACAGCGATCATAAAAACCTTCGGGCTGGGCTCGGGCACACTTAGCTAAGCAGTCGCAGAATTCATTCCCCAATTCACCTGAGTGCCCTTTGACATGCAAATGCGCCGTAAATGCCCGCATCTGGAGACAAGCACGCAAATGCCCGGCGAAGGCGGCTAGGGACGGACCCTCCTCCGTACCGACCGTCTGGGCAGTAGCCATCTGGCCAAAAACGCAGCCACCAGCACTGGTGCAGTCATACCGAAAGTATATAGGCACTCCGAAGCTGGCGCCGTACTCAATGGCCCAGACATGGGCCCACGCCAGAGCAAGCAGCTCTGATGTGTAAGAAGCATCATCTCGTTCCCCGAGTGAGTAGGGGGTGTCGAGGGGCACGCCGGTGTGCGCACTAAACCCTAACAGCAAAAGGCGATCCTGGACTTGCACCCAAACCGCGAAGGCCCAAGAGGCACCAGACCCTGCTGTTACATTGCCAGCGGAACCATCAGTGTAGATGATTACTGCGATGGGGT